AAAAAAAAAAAAAAGAAAAGAGGAAACGAAAAGTGACGAGCACGAGCAAACGGGAAACCGTTCTTAGAGAACGATAATCCGGGGAAAGGAAGGAAAAGAAAGGAAACGATGAAAACGGTAGGGTACAGCGTGTGACGAAAGAGAACATTGCAAAGCTTGTGTTGAAAATTTAGTATCGTAGTGGATGAAACACTAATTAGCAATATAAATTTAAAATGTGTAAAAGCTTCTTGAATTTTCAATATTAACGGTGGTCCTCTCGGTTCAAATATATCTATTTACATATCTTTTAATTAAAACACGGAAAAAAAAAATGATAAAGAAGTACGAATGTAGGACAAATTGAACTTTAAGGCTAACGAGATCAACATCCGATGTAATGAAAAAGAGGATAAAAAAAAAAAAATTGAGCATAAATTGTCGCTTGAAATTGAACGAAAGGAAGAAAAATATCACAAGACTCGATATGTCGTGCGGTATTAAGATCTGCTGGGCCTCGCGAAAGCGTGAGTTTTTCCATTCGGCGAATCTGTTGATTGATTCTTTGGAAAAAAAATCCATTCTAGGCAATCTGCGTTTAGAATTGAATTACTTGAAAAAAGAAAGAAAAAACAAAAGAAGCTTACCGAGGTAAAATTCACGCTTTTTAGTAAAGAATTGCTCACGAATCTACCTAACGTATGTCATTTCCTAATTTTCACGAACAATTTAACTATGAATTTCTTGAAATTATTCCTTCAGCTTTCTGTCGGCGAGTATTTCAACTTTATTCATGACTTTATCCTCAATTTTCAATTTCAAACGTTTCTAGTTTATCTTGCGAGCAATTTACACATTTAATCAATATCATCTTGGATATATTTCAAATACTTTCAAGTATTTGGTATCGATCACTAAAAATAATTTTCTGATAGTAATGATAGATTTAAATGACAAGAATATTCTTCGAAATATTTCGATCAAACTGAAGTGCACTTTGTTCTTTCTTCCTGTGTTGCTTATAGTTTCACGGGTAGATTCATTCGTACGAACACGATGACGATCTTAACCACACCGATTTTCAAATGAATCATGCCGATCCCGATTACCAGAGTTCGCACAGAGAGAAGCTAACACGAGATTGTAGAATGTGCTCGAATTAATGGGACATAGATTTCGTCTGTCTATGTAATACGTATAATACAATATCTGGCTAGATACCGTTCAGTAACGTTATATATATATATATTTAAAAAAAGAAAGGAAAGAAGGAAAACAAATTTGTGTAGCGAGTGTGAATTTCTTTACTATTCAAACTTACTTTCTCTTGTCACATTTACACACATGTACTACAATATAACACGTATAGAATATATATTTATTTATATATATATAT